GGTGGGGACCCCCTCCCCACCCGCCCGCAGCCAGCCGAGCGGAAAGCCGTCGGCTTTGGCCGGGAAGCCGGGCTCCAAGCACCGGCGGAGAGCAAAGCCACCGCCGAGCCCGCAGCCTCCCCCCTTTCCACCCGGCGCCTGGCAAGGTGCAAAGCCCAGGGATGCTTCCCCCACCTCGCTGGAGTCTCTCACCCTCCCTCCCTCTCGCCCCGTGATGTGCCAGGGAGGGAGGGGAGAGAGAGGTCCCCAGGGTGCCGGAAAAACAGCACTTGCCTCCAAAAAGAAGATGTAAAAATAATTAAGCACAGATGAGGTAATTTTCTCTCTCAAGATCCTTAATCTTTGTTACGTTCCTGCTTGGAAGGCAAGGCCTTCTCCTCCAGGAAGATGAAAAACTGCTGTCTGTCAACACGAGGAGGAGATGATACTGCTCCCTCTCTCCACTGCTTCCGTCCCTCCAAACCCCGAGTCCCAAACCCCAGGGTTTCTCCTCTGGGAGGTGGAAACGCTGCTATCACCCCACTGCTGCATCACCAGCGATGGTTTGCAGAGGGATGCAGCTCCTCACGCTGCACCGGACCCTCTGCTCCCTGCTGCCACCGAGGGCGCCTCAAAACAACCACGAGCGATGGAGTTTGGGCATTTTAAGACAGTTGCGTGCACCGAGCAAAGGCGTGAGCTGCGTGCGTGCATCTTCCCCGCTCGTTCCCAGTCCCACGCTCCCCGGGCAATGATGCACGGCGGGTGTAAAGGCGATGCAGGCGCAGGCTGGTGCTGCCCTTTCTGGACCCATTAGCATCGTTAGCAACGCTCCTGGGCTTTGCTACCCGCCCTCTACAAGCAAGCTGGTCCATTAGGACTGGCCACTCTCCCCCAAACCAGCCGGCATCCCCGCAGCCTGGGGGGCTGAGCTCCTACAGCCAAAGCCCTCGTGCCCGCACCCTCCGCACCCCACGCAAGGTGCCCAAGGGGGGCAGCCAGCCGACAGCCCGCCCAGCTGCAGGGACAGCAGCGGGAGATGGAAATTGGAAGAGGGAAAGCATCGCCATCGGGTTTCTGCCACCTTAGGTAAACACAAGCACAAAGATGAGCTGGGCCAAAAATACCAGCAAAGCCCTCGATGGGGAGAAACCAGCCCTGGGCAGAGGGGAGCGGGCTGCTTGGCAGACACGGACCTGCTACCAAAGAGCCCACGACCAAACTGCAGCCCTGACCGCTCATCCTGCCCGTGCTTCATACAGCCCCCCCGGTACCTCCCTGCGTTCTCGGCGCAGACACAGATGGCACACGCCAGCAATGACATGCCTACCTGAATTTCTCTCCTTGCTTTTGCGAGTTTGCACACAGCAAATGACGGGAGAGGAGGTGGCCTGGCAGTGGGGGGAAGGAGGTTTTTAATTACTGAAGTGTAGTAATTGGCACACACCACTTTTTTTGTTGCCTCTTATGCAGATCGCTGGTGTTCCAGAGGGCTGGGCTGGAGAGCACAGATTGTCTCAACCCAGCAGGACACACAAGAAATGAATAATGTTAATTAGAACTGAAAAGAGCTCGGCGAAATTACCAACCTGATTGCTGCTTTTGTTGCAATTATCAGGGTACAGGCTCCAGCGCAGGGAGGCAGGGACGGGGCTGAGCCTGGCTCGCCCTAGCAAACCTGGTGGCCCAACCTGGGGCCGTGACCAAGCTGACACCCCCCCCCCGGCACTCCACAACCCCCCGGGCTCGCTTCTCCTTCCACCACCACCTGATTTTCACCGCGTGCCTGCCCTGCAGAACCCCCC